GACTGGATATACGTTCAACATGGAACAATGCTCTCCCTTGTTGTGCGTGTCTAGAACGAGGGCTGCTTTAGTCCTGGTCCTCAGGATCCAATCCAATCTCCTTGTTATAGGTGTCTTCCTACCTTCAAACATCGGACTAAAACAAATAGTTAATTAAAAGGCCTCTGCAGACTTTGGTGGTTGCTGAGGCAGGAATGCAAATATTTGATTCAGGTATGCTGGAGCAGAGAAACCTCTAAACATGAAGAAAGGTGATCCCTAAAGACTGGGATTGAAACATCCCTGGACTCAGGAGGAAAGTTGCAGCAAAAAAAGGATCTTTCCTCCCCACGCTCTCTTCTTGGACAGGAGGGTTAGGGCTGCTGGTGTTGGCCTGACAGTTTGAAGCTCTCTGCTGTGTTTTACTGCTCAGCTTCATGTGCTCGGAGAAGTTTTGTACTTTGTCCCTTCTTGTTGTGATTTACTCCTGAGTATGGCTGCAGATGTTTTGGATTGGTCAGGCAATGAGTGTGGAGCAGAGTTAGTTGGCTTTCCTCCTCTACGATGGGGGCCTTTGGTGCAGGGGCTGCCGGCCGGGGATTGCTTGGTGGATTGTTTGATCTTGCCTCAGTGTGGGGTTGAGGAGTCTGCATGGCGAGTCCTGGACCCCCTTGGGTCTTGGGATTTTAGACCCCTGACTAATCTACTCAGGTGTTTCCCGCTGTGGGGAAAGCCCCCATCGCCGTAGCCTCCTGACGCATCTGCACTGCAGCCGCTGGAAAATGTCCCTGTAGCTCTTCTCCACTCTTCTCTCGGCCTCTGGCTTCTGACGACCACTGTTGGATGCAGAGCTTTACTGATGCACAGATGTTTTGATAAACTCTAAATTCAGCAGCAGAGGAAGCATTAAACATTTTGTAAAAAAAAGAATCATTCTGAAATATTCAGTGATGTTTTTTTTTTGTTATATGCTCTGATTGTTTTTACCCATGATACTTTTTTTGTTCTGTTTTTAGACTTCCTTTCTTCTTTCCCTCCATTACTGTCTCCTTATCTCCCTTTAAACTTTTTGCCTTACCTCCTTCTTCACCTTTATCTTATTCTATATTATTTGAAATAAACAAATAATAATGTATGATAAAGTTCTTTAATTACATATAAATATAACAGTTATAGTAAAAGCTGTAATAAAATAGAATAGAATAGAATAGAATGGAATGGAATAGAAAATCCCTTTATTCTCCCACAATGGGGAAATTCTGGTGTTTACAGTGGCAAAAAAAAAATTATAGAAAACATGGTCACACAAATTTTAACCTTAGAAAAATGTATAAGAATAACAATAATGAAGAGTTAAAAGATAAACAATAAAATACTAAACTGTAAAGTGTTTTAACAATATACAAACTGTGCACCTGGAGAATAAATTTTTACAGTAATTGATAATTGGAAATAGCATCAACATCAGAGATGTCTAAAAAAGCATGTTATTTAACTAAGATAGAAATTGTGCAAAATCTGCTTTAATGTAACAACTTACTGAGGTTGATGGGAACAACCTAAAAAATGCTCCTCTTGTAAAAGTAACGATTGGGCTTCTTTTTCATACCAAGGTAACCATTAAACTTCAAACCTTACTGCACAGAGAATTTCAAAAATCATTTACACCTAATCAAAAAATTGTTTTTGTGACACACGCTGTCAATAGAATAATAAAAAAAATCAAGATAACATGTTAAAACATATGTTTTAATTATATCACAAACTTTTTGAATCACAAAGCAATGAATTTGGATTATACATCACCCTCTGTTATGGTTTTCCCCTTTTGGAATTTGAGTTTTGAGGTTTCAGTAACTGTCATTCTGTTTTGTTGATCTTTGGTTTATTTTTCATTTTGTGTTATATTTAAGCAGTCTTTAGTTACTCTCTGTTGCCCCCTTTTTCCAGTTTTTTCACCAGGCTCCCTTCTAGTCACTTCTATCCACACCTGCTCCATATCACCTGATTAATCCAGTCCTTGTTCTGTCTCCCATATATACTCCTCCTGTGCAGTTCTTCAGGGCTGGTTTCTTGTCTTTGCTTGGCTCCTGGAGTGTGTTTTGTCCTGTTTTCATTTTGGTTTCCTGTTTCTTGATTCTTGGATTTGGTTTCTGTTCCCTGCAAGAACTCATCTGGGCCTCCCTCATGTTTGCATTTGGGTCCTCAACCTCGACCTGACACCGTCGCCCTGCTGTTTTACCAGATTGAAGACTAAACATATTTGCCTTTAAGACAATCCAAGTATATTAGCATTATCAGTTTGAATTTTAGAATCATATTTAAAAAGAAAAGACAATTGTTCCTATCATATCCAGGTATTTTAAAGTTTTTTTTTTCACCATAGCAGCAAGTTAAACCTTTAGTCTTCTCCATTTTATCCAGCTGCCTTTTAGCTGGATCAGTGCCACGAACAGTGAGTGCCTCGGATCACAGTTAACTGACTTCTTCAAGGTCTTAGCCGTCTTAAGATGAAAGGTTGCGCTGTGTTATTTCTTCAGTTTTCCCGCACAGTCTGACAATGGCCTGGGGGCTCCGTTTGTGTTTCAGGTTAAGCGAGTTGCACCTGAAGTCAAGCAAAGGCTTCAGTGTTTAAAAAATAAAGTTCTTGGTAGAAAATGAGCTGATGGGATTTCCTCTACAAACAACTAATTATAGTTTGCTGTTTTGTTAAACTCCCCGTGGTTTTATGGAGAAAGGGGGGTGCAATTATGACCTTCCCAAATTTTCTAAAAATCATCACGTCTGTCTGTTCCAACCTGAATCGTCATTCATCATCATTCATTCCTCTCAATAACAACAATTTTTGTTTTCTTTTTACATTATTTTATCATATACAGTAGGTCTTTATATTTACTCTGAGTTTCCTAATGAGGATCAACCAACCCAATACTTCAAATACGGTAGAAATGTTCTAAATAGAGCGTTGGTGTTATAACTTTTTCCTAATAGTTGACATAATGTTCTCTGGCTTTTAAACCAAGGAGGAGAAATTAAAGGCTCCTAAAGCTCAAGAGTAAAGGAAACAACCTCTGGAAATAGATTTATACTACAGAGAAGAACAAATGCAACCATTCAGGAATGCGAAGGAGAGCAAATTAATCTTTAAAAAACAGCACAACCATCCTTTACCTCAAATGTCTTTCCCACTCACCTTAAAATAAGCCTTGAAATAAATCACATTTTTCTCATCCTTAAGAGAACACAACAAAGCTTTGTTATATTTAAAGCTACAGTGTGTAATAATTACAGGGATATGCAGTCAGAAATGTAATATATTATACATAACTATGTTATTTATCATCATCTACGAGCTCAGCCTCTTAACCTTAATATTTGCGTTGCCTTAGAATTCGTTATTTATAATTACATAGGAGCGGGTCTCGCAGCCATGGAGGCAGACATCTTTGCGCTACGGCAGCGCAGAGCCAACAAACTAGCGATTGCGAGATCGCCCATTACACTCGAAAGTAACTACGGCAAGTTGAGAGAGATGAACTGAAATCTATACCCTACACAGACTAATGAAATACTATCTGTAAAATTATCTATGTAAACAAACCTCATCACTTGAGAAGGAAGGTGATGCGGACGTCGTGGAAGACATTTTGTCCCGTAACGCTCGCCGTACTGTTGGGGGGGAGAAGCGGTGGGGGGGAGATGTTCATGTTGCTGCGGTGTGCAGTCTGACCGCTAGATGTCGCTGAAAGTTACACACTGTAGCTTTAAGTTTTGTGACCTTTAACTCTGCTGTCAGTTTATTGGGTCATTAAAATACAGGACCTTAGATTAGCAGAAATATCTCTAAAGTTTTTCTTGAATTTAGCTAAACTAATTTTTTCGGGAAAAATAAAATTACACTTTAAAACCCTGTAACAAATTACAGAGGTGTAATAAGATTAGAGGAAATTAAAGCAGAATAAATCTAGACAATGAATTAATACAGAAAATTTGTCTGTAGTATAATGCAACTAGTTCTGTGATTACTGTAGTAGCCAATAAAAATTCCCTTTCCTTGACAGGCCCTTGTCCCTGGCTGGTCCCCTACAATTCCTTTTTAAACATCAATCTTTGTGCTAAAATATTCTTTTTGTCATTATTTATGGATATTAAGATCTAAAGAGAAGCATCATCTTCTGGTCAGACCCTGTAATTCAGTGAAAAGGTGGAGGCAGAGTAAAAAAAAATGCACGTCCAGTAGAAGGCCAGTGGATGGAAGTTGGAGGGGATTTTGCTGGGAGTCGCAGGGGAGTAGGCGGCGTTTGACTGGGAAGGGCCATTTTAAATGGCAAAACTGTCTAAAATTTAAAATCTTCCCAATTATTATTATTCCCCCGATGTTAGATGTGTGTTTACAGGAAATTAACATTTTCTAAACCTGTAGACAATCCATAATGTTGAACTGGGCTGTTATAATATTGAACTAACATGGATATTTGCACTTGTTTGGTTTTTCAAGACAGAATAAATCCTTCTTTTGATTATACAGACTTAGTTTAGAAATGTAAGAGTTTATATTTTATGATTGAAAAAAAAATATATATATAAATACCCTGATAAATAGTGGCCCTGATGCAAATTGATCTGTAGACATTTTTTTTTTTTATAATTACAATCACCAGCATATCCACTTTCTCTCTAACATGCAACACTAAAGATTATTTTACCAATTCCTTTCTAATCTTCCCAACCAGTTTCCATTTTTTCCTTTAAAAAAAATTAGGAGAAATATAGTAAATAACATAATTATTTATAATAGTAATGTTAGAAATATGTTATATTTCATTATAATCTATATTAGGTGTCAAATAGTTCTACTTCTTTCTCTTATATCGGTTGTTAAAGCTGCTCTAAAACCTTCACATATAACTGTTAAAGGGGTAAAATGATTAGCTGCTGTCTGTGAATTGACATAAAAGCCAAGCTGATATAGTTAATAAATAAAACTGACCGTTTTTTCTGTTTGTGTGTTTTTTCATTAGGTGCAGGCGATGTCGTGGGTTTCGTTTGTGGGTTCAGGGTGCAGGATGACGGCTGCTAAGCTCCTCGTTCCTTTCCTTGTTCTCCAATCATTTTGTGAAGGTGAGTCTTTTTTTTCCTTTAAACAGTGACTACATGTAAAGCCTGAAAGATTGGTGTTTCATTTTATCAGATTTGAAGCTACATGAAAGGTATTTAGGCTGCATAATTTCCACCCTGATCGACGTCTGTTTGTGCTACATTCTAAAGTCTTCATATTCCCTCTGCAGCTGAATTTGGTGCTTTCATTTAAAAGTTCGGTTTTTTATTTGTGAAAATCTGTGTATTTAGATTTTAATCATTAAAAAAAAACAGAAAAAACCTCACTAAAATATTTGCATAATCTATGGGTGATAAAACAAAGGAAAGCTATGAATTAAAGATTACCCATATCTGGCTTTGGAAGAAACAAATTAAGTCAAGTTTGATCACAAAACTTTAAAGCGTTGCTACTGAATTTATTTGTAGCAACAAGTGAAAACCCAGAAAATGTTTAGCTGTACAAGCAACTACCTCATAACAGATATTTTACAGTTTTTCCAGATTGCTGTGTTTTTACATTATGACAAAAAAGAGAAAAAAACTATCATTCCTGTTTATTGGCACAGAACATTTGGTAAAAAGTAGTTTATAAATGTATTTTAGTTTTACTAAGGCTGGGCATACACTGTACAATATTTTCAATAGCTGTTCTAAGCTACAGCTCAAACTGTACAATGCTCAAGATGTATATTCTTACACTACGGACCTGATGCGTTGACGCGATCTTCCTGCTCACACTACGTCTAAAACCACACGTCGGATTTGGCGCCAAGAGATGCCGCTGGTCAGATTCGTCAATCTGGAAAAACAAGAACTCCCTTATTTGCATATTTGCAGCACGTGAGGTTCAGGCAAATCAGCTCATAGTCGTTCGTAGCTCTCCTTCCTGAGAGGCTAATAGCCCCTCCTTACCCCCTGGTTACTACGTGACGCAGAAAGAGGCTGAAACTCGGCCCGATCCAAAAACATTTCGCGACCGGAGAATCGGACCGAAAAGGGCTAAAACGCGCAGTCTATGTCCATGTAGAAAAAAATGTCAAATTTGCTTGAATCAATTCAATTCAGTTTATTTATATAGCGCCAATTCACAACAAATGTCATCACAGTCAGATTGATTCAAAGTTTTCTATCTAAGGAAAACCAGTTGATTGCATCGACTCATTGACT